AAAAAGTAAATCAGAGCTAAAAAAGTGCAAAAACGCAGGCAAATTTGCCTGCATTGGTCTATATATTAAGGGATAAGGTGTTTGCATAATAAAAATCTGTTTTTTTTTTTCAAGTTCACAGTGACAGTTACACCAATAGGCAAATAAAGTAGTCTTGATTTGTTTATTATCGTATTCTTTATGGTAAAACTATCTTCTTTTTCACAGATCTTTACGATCTCAAGCTAGGTTAGCCAATGGGGCTTAGCAAATGCCACTGGACTATGTCCATTGAACCAATGGACAATATCCATTGACAATTTATTCAGAACCCATCATAGTCCATTGCCAACTCTGAATCTTAAGTGTCAATAAACTTGCAAAAACTTTTTTGGTGTCATTTATTTATAATTAATTAATTATTTAAGAAATATTCACAGCTATCTCAAGATTCATATGGATATTGCTTTCTTCTTCAACATCCATAAGCTTTTCATAAACTATAAACTATATGTTTAATCTCTTCAGATTTTATAGCATTTTCTTTTTGTTTGCAAATATCATTTAAAATTTGATCTTCACGTTTTCTTTTTCAGCTTTCATATATACAGATTGAATACTCAAAACATGCTTTTTGATTACTTTGAAATGCAATAATGGGTTTTATAGTTCAAAAAATAATCAAAGGTTTGAATTTTTCATTTTACGATATTCAAAAAAAAAAAAAAAAATTCAACGTAAATAGTTGTCCTTATTATTATATAGATTATTATTATTATTGGCACATAAAAAATCTGAGACAGATTATTAATTATAAATAATTTTAACTTTTGAATTGATTATTATTAATAAAAAATTCTTATGAATTCAAATTGAAATAACTTTCTTCGATTCGATTTCAAATTAAAATATTTAAATAAAATGGAACAAGTCAAACAAGTACAGTCTTCACAAATATCTAATATGCGTATGAAAATTCTATTATTTTTTAATTTTTATATTTAAAATTTTATTTAATAACTTAGATATTGCTAAATTTAGAAGTTGCGCAAATTATTAAAACAACAACTACTTTTACAAAATTTAGAAAATTTTTACCTTCAAGTTAGGCCATGCAAATTAAATTAGTTGATTCTTGTTATATGCAACAAGCAAATAGAACCTGGCTAGCTAACAAAAAATGTTATATTTACAAATTTTTTTTCATATAAAAAAAATTTTATAAATTTTTTTTTTTTCATACAAGAATAAAAAATTTTATATAGAAAAAAATTTTAACTTTTCTAAAAAAGTTAACCGGCCGGGTAATGAGAACCAACTTTATTTGTTTGCATAGCCTTATAATTATTTAATTCAAGAATTTTCTGAAATACCCAATATTTAAACAAATACAGGTATCCAAATTCAGCAATTTTATACTCATTGTTTTACAAATATTCAATCAAAATAATAAAAGAATTTGTAGTAGAATGCAAATTCCTGTTCAGGTAGCCTTCTTACAACTAGAACAAATGGGTAAAAAAAGAGCATTTCCAGGGCAACAGCTATTAAATAAACTTGAAAAGCAGATCCTCAAGAAATATAAGCCTGTAAGAAAAGAAAAACTGCTAAAAAATTACTCAACTTATCATATAACATTAAAGAAAATAAAGAAAATTAATATTAAATAGTTTTATTTGCTTTTATTTGCATTTTCTGCATTTGTAAAATTTTCGATTGTATATGCTTTTAAAATTTTATAGTTTATACTCAAACTTATATATATACTATCGAAACTTATATTATCGCTATAATATTTAAATCTGAATTTGCTTAACCTGTTCCAGATTTTTTATATGCTTATTATTAATCAAATATCGTCATTATTGTATCAATTATTATTAAATTTAATGTTAGAAAATAAATTTAAAACTTATTACATACATGATTTTGGTGGCAATACTAGGTGGGTCTAGCGATAGAAATTTCTGATTGTTAATGAATTGTTAAACTATATAAATTGTTAATTGTTAAATGATTTATATAGTTAACAATTTGTTAACAATTGTTAATAATTAGAAATTTCCATTGCTAAGTGGGTTCATTATAATCATCAATCTGTAAATTAATAGATAGGATTTCACCTTTTGTACTATCTGTAGTACAGTATACCAAAATGCATTAAAAATCTAAAAAATTATAAGTCCAAAAAAATTTATATATAAAAATCCAATAAATACTATAGTTTCATCTGGAAAATTTTTTTTGATATTATTAATAAAGTTGTTGAAATAAAAAATATTTTTTAACTGCTAGTATACTATTTAAAGCAATTTTACTCTTAAAATTATTAAATAATTTTATAAAATAAATTTGAATTATATAATAAAGATTTAGAACTTATTATAGTTAAAAAATTATTACTTGTTATATAATAAAAAATATAACTTGTATTATAAGCTTAGTATTACAATAATAGAAAATTATTATTATTTATAGTAATTTATATAAGCTTTTTAATCTTTAGTTATAGTTAAAAAATTTTTTTATTAAATAAATTTTTTTAGATTTTTTAATAAAAGTTGTAAATAACAATTATTTAATTTTAATTATAAAATTTAATTGATATTAAATTGATTTATCTTAAGTTATATTACTTTAAATTTTAAAAAAAATCATATCTATTTTTTAATATAGTTTAAATAATCTTTGTATAGTACTTATTAGTAAACCTTTAAAGTTAAATTATTTGTCTAATATATTAAAAAAAATTTTATAATTAAAATTAGCAAACTTATCTTAACAATTTTTATAAATTTTTAAAATTTTTATAATAACTAGTAAATACTATATAAAAATAGTTTAAACTAAAATATTTAATCTAAAAAAAAATTCTAAAAGATTAGAAATGCTATTTAGATCTAATAACTATCATAGTCTACAAAGCCAAATACCTAACAAACTATTTAAAGTTGTTTAAAATATAATTAAAATTTTAAAATTGCTAGATAATTGCTTTTGAAAAGTGTTAACATGTAGTACAATATACTACTGGTAGTATACTAAAATCCTATCCATTAAATAAATACAATTAAATAATTATAAATATTATTATCACAAAGTAAATACTTTTTAATTTGATATGCACCTAAACCTTCAAGGTTTATCTTTAACATACCTGGCATCATTTACATTATTTTTGACAATGGTTCTATTTTGGATCTGTTTTAAAATTGTTCATACATATTTCTGATAGTAAAAATATCTAAATGTGTATATGTAATCAAATCACATATTAATATTAAAAAAAAGACAACCTTATAAATATATAAATTTATTAAAGTTTATAACTAACACTACTTCAAATTTTTAGCAAATTTTTATTCTGGTCTAATTTTAAATCTTTTACTTTTTCAATAAGACTAATAAAATTATTCATACTTTTTTAATTATTAACATAAAAATAAATAATTATAATAATTATAATAGAGAATTTAAAAAATGTTAACAAAAAAATAAAAGACCAAACTAACTCAGCATTTTTTATACAAATCATCTAGGTTTAAATTTTTCCAAATTATAAATATGTTTACTAGTACAGTCTGATCTCTCTATAGTCACACCCTATATAATCACATCTCTATATGAGTACCCAATATTGTGTAATGGACTTAAATATAGTAAAAAAACCTCTTTATAGTTACAAATTGCTTATAATCACTATCACAAAAAAATTTGAATTTTTTTATCAATTTTATTAGTAAAAACTCTCTTTATAGTTACAAATTTTAACTAAATATAGATTACAAAATCTGGTTAGCCAATATTCATATTCATGCTTATTTAAAATATTCTATTAAAAATTTTTAAAGGTGTGATAGCAAATATCTTTGATGCAGTGGTCCAATTTAAATGAAACAATCACCGAAATATTCGTCTTAATGA